TTTACTGCTGAAGAAGAAAGCCATGTGGGCAGCTCTGAAAACTAACTGCTTCATTTATTTCAGAAAGGTATAGCACAGCCAGGAAATGGCAATGCAAGTTTCCCCACATACAGTGGAAACTCCAGGCAAGATTTGAGACAGTTCCCACAGCCCATTCATTCAATCTTTGGCCTTTCAGCTGAGACTGCCAATAATGGTTCCACCTGTGTTTCTGTGATAAATACAGTTGTGCACTAGGAATCAGAGACCCACCAAATTCACAAGCCACAAAAGCCACATTAGTAACATTTCATTACCAACCTAGACTGGATTCATATCAATGACCTACAAGTAAATGGTTCAATTTACAATTACAAATACCAGGAACCATCTAGTCCTCCCCTATTTTAACAGTAATATTCAGTGATTTTTTGAAACAGAGACACTATTTTGAACGGGATAAAAACGACAGTGCTTGCTGTGAAATGAGTTAGTCTCAGTTGATTTGCTAGCAAACAGGTGTCCACATACGCAAACCCACCAACTACTGCTCATGCCAAACTCAGCAGAGACCAGACTGAATGTATACAGAAAATGAAATATTCTCCCTAACAGTCAGGTTTCAGGTTCATTTTGGGGCAGGAAACATTAGCTGCCACTGTCTGTATTATACCTCTTCTGTGGCTAGGCAATTTCAGCCCCAGGCTTTCAAGCTAGCACCATCCCAGACTCCTAAATCCACATATAAAAGGATGGAAAAAATGGAATATGTTACATGAGAAAGGGGGATAGGAATAAGAAAGCCAACAAAATTAATCTTCAAGCCACATGTCCAAGCTTGTTCTGCAGAGGTGAAGCACTTGGTAATCACTTACCTGGTGTGCACACCTCCTTTTTTCTGTATTTAGGAACATGAACCACTCAGCTACACCACCCACAACACCTTAAGTATGCAGGTGACAGAACTTTCCCTGAAGTGGTCAGTACCGTGTGACGTATCCTTAGGAACACCCCACTCATCCCTTTTCCAAAAAATAACCCCAAAATGCTCCTTTTTCCAGAGGTTTTTAGTGTTTTTCTCCCAGTATGACCCCCTCCCCCTTTTCTGAAAAAAAAAACACTACAGTGGCTTTTGCACAATTTCAGGTGTTTTTTACAGTTTAATTCTCTGTGCAGCAACGTAAGTACTGCCTCAATGTTTGTTTGTTATTGGACAGGAGAAAGGGTATTTTATCAATAAACACAAGCAATAGCTTTACAATAGCAGTTTGTAGTATAATAAATCTTTATGCATACACACATACTAAATATTACATAGAAAAATGCATTAAAAAGAGTGTTACAATTGCACAGAAAAGCACTAAAAAACTGGGAAATGCCAGAATTAAGGTGGCTGTGTAATCTTAATTCAGTCCCTTTACAGTCTTTAAGACATGATCAAACACTATTGCTTAAACACAGGACACACCCATTTCATTCAGTGGACAGGATGGAACTGTTTGGGGATGAATCCGTCATGTAGTCAAAGAGGCTGTTGTCAATAGGACCCCTATATCATTTGTCACAGAAGCTGGATGATGTGTAGTGAATGAGGCAAGGGACAGGACAGTCTCGTGGTTAAGAAAATTGAATGCCACCTGTAAAACTGGAGCTCCTATGTGATGCTGGGTAACTCACTTAAATCACAATGTTCACAGTGGGCCACTAATTATGTAGTCCTAGTTTTCTAGGTGCCCAGTGAGAGACAACTGGGGCCAGATTTGCAGGAGTGCTGAGCACTCAGCAAGTTCCATTGAAGTGAATTGGAACTGTGCTCTGAACATGAATAACTACTCACTCAGAGAATGAGGCAGGGATCATATGGAAAAAAAATAGCATGCGAAGATTGTATAGAATATGAAGATTGTATCATAATGTATGTGCACAAGCAAGCCGAATTAAGATTGCACTGGCAACCTTAACTCTCATATTTCTTAACTTCTGAGTAGCTGACTTCGCAACCATAAAATTCTTTCAGCATAGTTTTTTGGATGTAATATACACTTGAATGACTTTAGCCTCGGGAATAAATCCCTATCTAAAGGGATTCCTGACACGGTAAACTATAATGATGGAGTTGTCAAGGCTACTGAGAAGGTTTCTACTTTGAAGTTCATTGACCTTAATTGCTCCCATCAGCCTGCAAGGGGAAAACATGGGCACTCACAGGACTGTATTCAATACTTGAAAGATAATATGTAGATTCCAGTCAGACACTAACACTGATGGAATTTTTATTGAAAGAAAACGAGGGGATGGGGACCTTTTGAACAATGCCTCATTTTCTAAAATGAAAATAACTAACATTTCCCCTCAAATTTATTTCCACCTCATACTGAATATTACATGCTTGTACATAATGTACCTGCCAAAAAATTAGTCAGAAAAACTCTAAAGTGTGCAGAAAAATAACCTTATTTGATCTATATCTGAAATGTACAAATGCTCAAATAAGGCCTAATGTTGCATTCCCTACATAGTCAGTATTTCCATAGGTTTTAGGGGGAGATTTGGATGCACAAGAAATACAGAACCAGGAAAACAAAGGATACTGTAATTTCCAATCTGCAACAAAATTAATAGTATCGATAGCAAAAAAACACTAAGTAGACCAAGGGAAAACAAAACTTGCCTGGCATGGATCACAGCAGTTTGAATGAACCTTTTAACAGTTTCACATCTTGAAATTTACATACTCCTCTTGTTTGGAGGAAAATGAAAGAAGTGCAAGACAAACCAAAACTCACCCCAAACCACAATTGAGCTGCCAGTTAATCGAAAAGATTTACACAGCACAGTAATTCTTGTTCAAACCTGGTCTCTGTAACATAAGCATATCTCATTTTTTTGCTACTGAAACATTTGTCCTCCCCGTACTGTTTATTTGTCATCCTCTGCTGCCTTATGTCTGAATTACTGCTAAGCTCCTTGTGGAAAGGACCTGTCTTTTCACATCTTCCATAAAGCACCATCCATGCCTATGACTCTGTTCAAAATGATTCTTTAGGTTAGTAACAAAACCCCAGTGAACTCTACCAGATTTGGGGTGTTTATTCCAAGATTTTCACACAGCTCGATTAAATGCTCTGTCCCCATCAGACTTGGCATGAACAATACTTTCCTCAACACTACACCTGCCCTCAATAACACACTACAGTTAGGTCACTGGTCACCTAGGGGGCTAGAGAGTTATGGGGTGTTATACAGGATTAGTGTGATGAAGACAGCCGGAACAAGAAAGACTTTACAGCATTTACAGCCACAAAAACACCTTAAAAATAGTGCCTAGAAAGGCAAGAAGACCACAGCTTAGCAGCCAGCAGGTATAGATCTGCAGGAGCAGAGGGCATGGCTAGAAGCACCTCTGAAGAGTCCCCTGGATAATTGGTATGGCAGCATTTGACCACTAGCCCACAGAGGTATGCTGTCCCTGGCAGAGAAAGGGGCTGGAACAGCTATACATTCCCAACACAGACACGGTGGTTAGATGAGACAGCCGCTGTCCCCCAGCACAGAGGCAACGGTAGAGGAAAGAGGCTGCAGTTCCACCCCACCCACAAAGAGGCAAGGGGTGTCTGCCCCTCCATGCAGAGAGGCAGAGGCTGAGAGTGAGTGCGTGCACAGGGGCAGGAGGGTGTGCACCAGCTGCGCTGCCCATGCCCGCTGCTTGGGGTAGTGCTCACTTTCCCACCACTGGTGTAGGATTGTGTGTGTACGTGTGTCCCAGCACAGGGTCTCCATGTGCGCGTGTGTCCATGTCCATCCCCCCTCCTCCAGCACGGGGGTTCCGTGTGTGTGTGTGTCCGTGTCCATCCGTTTCCCCCACTCCCCTGGCACAGGGGCTCTGTGTGTCCCCGTGTCCGTCCCGCCCCCAGCACAGGGGCTCCATGTGCGTGTGTGTCTCTCTCCACGCCCTGCTCCCTCCACAGGCGCTGTGTCTGTGTGTCTCCGCGCCCCATCCCCACAGATGCGCTGTGTCCAGGTGTCTACACACACACACACATACACGGCTCTCGGTGTCCGGGTGTCTCCGCACCTCCCTCCCCCCCACAGACACTCTGTGTCCAGGTGTCTCTCCCCGCCCTGTGTGTGTGTGTGTGTCTCCGTGTCCTGTCCCCTCCACCCCCCACGCACCAGGGGCAGTGTGTCCATCCATCCCACACACAAGTGCTGTTTCCGTGTGTCACCTCCACACCCCAGCACTAGGGGCTGTCGGTATGTGTGTGTGTGTGTGTGTCCATGTCCAGTTACCCCCCCCCCGCAGCCCGTGCCAAGGGCTGTGTCCTCCCTACCCCGACCAGGGGCTGTGTGTCCATGTCCTCCTCTTCCTCCCCCCCACCCCACCCCACCCCAGGGCACTGTGTGTGTATCCCTCCCCCGCGTCAGGAGCTGTGTGTGTCCTGTGCTTCCCCCCCTCTCTGTGTGTGTGTGTGTCCAAGTGTGTCTCACCCCACCCCCCGGGACCAGGGGCACTGCGTGTGTCCGAGTGTGTCGTCGTCACCTCCCCTCCCCCACACAGGGGCGCTGTGTGTGTGTCCATCCGAGTCCCCCCCAGGCACAGGGGCGCTGTGTGTGTGTGTGTCCGAGTCCCCCCCTTCTCCCCTGGCACAGGAGCGCTGTGTTTGTGTATCCCTCCCCCGGCACAGGGGCGGTGTGTGTGTCAGTGTCGTCCCCTTCCCCTAGCACAGGGGCGGTGTGTGTGTATCCCTCCCCCGCCACAGGGGCTGTGTGTGTGTGTGTCCCGTTCCCCCCCGGCACAGGGGCACTGTGTGTGTCAGTGTCGTTCCCCCGGCACAGGGGCTCTGTGTGTGTGTCCGTCCGTTCCCCCCCCCGGCACAGGGGCACTGTGTGTGTATGTCAGTGTCGTTCCCCCGGCACAGGGGCGGTGTGTGTGTGTTGTGCTTCCCCCAGCTGACCGCAGGGAGCCCGAGCTCGCCGCTCCCGCCCGGCCGGGGATGGGCAGGGACCCGCGCGCCGCTCACCTCCTTCCACGCCGAGCCGAGCCCATCGCCCATCGTCCGCCGGGGCCACCAGTGCGCCGCGCCGGGGAGCAGCTGCGGCGCCACAGCTGGGGCCGGCACCTGGGAGCGGCGGCGAGGTCAGGGAGGCTGACGAGCAGGGAGCGTCTGCAAAGTGCACGTCCGGCCGGGAGCGTGCACCGCAAGGGAGTATCTGCAAAGTGCACGCCTGGTCGGGAGCGCGCACCGCAAGGGAGCGTCTGCAAAGTGCACGTCCGGCCGGGAGCGCGCACAGCAAAGGAGCGTCTGCAAGCCGCTTCCTGCCCGTGCGGGCGCATAGACAACAAGGGAGCATCTGCAAACTACACAGCCGGGACCATGCACAGACAGCCTGTGCAAGGGAGAGCAAGGGAGCTAATTTTTATGTGAGCCCCTCAGATCTCATCAGATCTAGAGAGACAAAGGGGGTGAGTTAAGATCTTTTATGGGACCAACTTCTGTTACTGAGAGAGACAAACTTCCAAGCTACACGGGTGTGAGGAAGAGCTCTGTGTAGCTTGAAAGCTTGTCTCTTTCACCGCCAACAGAAGTTGGTCCAATAAAATATCTCATTGCACCCACCTTGTCTAATATCCTGGGACCAACAGGGCTACACCACTTCTTGTACTGACTCAGGCAGGGAGTGACATCAAATCCCCAGTGTTGTTGGGGTGGGTGCGTGGCCACACAACTACCCATCGCCAGCAGAAAACATCAAGTTACCAGTACGGCCAAAGATTGCTTGCAAACTGCTAGTGTAAGTATTGTTGGGGAGAGTGCACAGCCATCGAGCCCAAGAAAGGAACATCTGCAAAGTATCAGGCTGCCCGGAGGTCATGTACAATAATCTAGTCCAACTAGCCATGGTCCACCAATTCCCAGGTCAATAAAGAACTGTGTCCAATAAGGGTGCAACTAGGAGCCATCTGCATATTCACATCCCCACCACAGACTGCACAAAAGCTAAATCCGATCAGAGACTGTCTGCAAGCTTCTCACCTTACCTTGCCCCAAATGCTCCCCATGACACATGCTGGCTCTGGGGATGCATACATGAGTAGGTTTGGCCCACTGGGATAATAGGAAACCAAATCCTCAACTGGTGTAATCTACTGAAGCCCGGGGTTTGGCTCAAGCACCTCTACTGCTACCATATTTCCCATCACTCGGAGGCTCCTCAGCCTTTCCTTAGCTGAAGCCTCTCTTGCAATGGATTTGTATATTGGCAACTCCCAAATTCACTCAAGCCACCTTCCATCTTAAAATGTTAAGGCACTTTAACTTTCCTGAGATGTAAAAATTACACTCTCCCTTTTACAGATGAGGTGCAGAGATGTGACATGACTTGCTCAAGTTCATCCACTGAGCTGGTGTTAGCTCTCCCAATACCTTGGAATAGCTACAAGCCTCTCTTTGCCCTCTTTTACTGTCTTCCTTTTCTCCTCTCATTGCCAGTCTCTCCTCTCTTCTTTATTTTCTCCATCATTTTCTTCTTCTTTGGCCAGCCCTTGATCCTTTCTGCCTGCACTTTCCAGTGGTCCTCTCCTCTTTGTATGTTCCAGTTTCCTCCCTCAATCCTTTTCCTCCTCTGCATTCCTTTGTCACCCATCTGGTCCTATTTTCCTTCCCCATCATCCTATTTCCACCCCCAACATTCTACTCCTGCATCCTGTCTCATCTTCCCTATTCACACATGCACATGACCCCTTCCAGGGATGACAAGGGCTGCTGCACTGCTACTCAGAGCCTGGTAGTATGAGCATGAGGCTGCAAGTTCTGGCCTCTTCTGCTTCCCAATTTTTTGTCTCCCCTCTTTGCTGCCTGAGCCACTGTTTGTGCTGCACTGAGAGCTACCAAGAGGTTAAGGAAGCCAACAAGAGGAACAGTGACAAAGACAGGATGGAAGCAGTATCCCCTAGTGTTTGGTAGAAGGACCTGCATGTGAACCTTGTTCCCTTGCTACAGCCATGAGTTCTGAGTTATATTTCAGCTAGGGTGCATGATAGCAGGGCAAATCTTTGACTGTCACACTGGGGGAGTGATAATTGGCAGATATAGACTAACTACCACTGTCTGCTAAAGGTATCACTTTAAATTCATTTGTGTTTGGAGATGGAGATGTCTACCAAAATGTGTGTAGTAGTGGTTGGGACAAGATTTTGCCTGTGAGAGTAATCATGTCTTTTGTCTGCAGGATGTGAATTAATTACATCAGCTAACTTTTTCTAAACATTACACAGTGAAGAAATATTTGCAGTACAATATATTTATCTGATTTTTCATTTATTAAGCTGTTTATAAAATACAGTTTTAAAATTACTAAGGTGCCTAGGCTAAGCTGCAGTGTTTGGGGCCATTAGTGCAGAATGCTGTAGAACATTTTTATTAGGGAGGAAATGAATAAATTGTGAGTGGCTTGACAGACTCTATTTAATGCAGCCATTAGAGGAGTATATGTTTTCCCAATCTGCATGCACATATCTTAAGGGAAAGCAAACAGAAAATGGGTGACATCTGGTGGCCAATATCACTCTAGTGGTTCATAGGAATCATATGCCTTTTAATAGGGAGTCTAAAGTAAAGTTTCTAATTCTGGTTAATAACTGTACAAGCTAACGTAAGACTAAAAGAAGAATTTGTACAGTTTATAGTAAGTTCTGCAAACTAGAATTCAGACTCTTGTGTTGAGATCTTCATGTATTGTGAACTATCAGAGATTGACCACTGAAATTAAGCAAAATTAAATCATATGTAAATGGATATGTCTTTACAATACAAAAAGTCTTTGCTAGTATTTAATACTATCCAATATTTTTTCCAAGGGGTAGAAAATTGTTGTTCACACAATGCATGGTGAAGGGCACTTGTTTATAACCACAAGCAACAGAGCCATCATCAACAATGATGCTGTGCAACGTGGAGTTTTACATTTTATTGAGTATTATTCTGCGATCGTGTGTTGCCAGTTGGAAAATCTCATTGAGATTTAATGAGAGGTTTGGGGGTTGAAATTTTCCCAGGCATCCAATGATCAAAGCCCTGGACTTCTTCCTGTGCAAAAGATGAGTAGGCTTCTGAAAAGTTCCACTATGATTTTTACTGAGACTCTCATGACAAAGAAACAAAACAGGTGAAATAATGATGTCTAAAACGCTTTGATTTTCTTCCATTTGTTATGCTTGTAAATTAGGAAGATCACATCAACTGGCTGACCCCAGATTAGTCACTTTTGTAGCAGAGATTCTCAGATATTAAAATACCATTTCATCAAACTGCCCATAGCTGCTTAAAACAAAACTCCCAGTAAACCTGTTACAGAGGGGAAGGGAAAATCCAATGGCCCCTTGTTTATACATTACAATACAACTTCATACTGTTCAGTGTGTATATCTCAAAATGTTTTACAAAGCTAAATAAAAGAGTAAAGTAATGACAGAGAATTAATCAGGCAGATGAGAGTTGGGTGGGTTGCTCAGCCATTACCAAAATAGGGGAAAACTGAAGAGAATGAGAAGGGAAGAGAGAAGATAAGGTAGAAAGTTAGAGGCAAAGAGGGAATTAAAGGCTGGGGAGGGTTAAGGATGGGAATGTTGTAGAGCAAGCATGCCCTTTTATTTGTTTATTTTTTATTTGCATGTGTAACAAACATTCAAATATAGATTTTTCATAGTGCTACGTGCAGTAATTTCCAAGCATTTCTTAAAGTTTGTTCTCTTGTTCCATTGAGTTTATTTGGCACATGCTTTCCTGTTCTATTGCTGGGAGTTTCTGAAATTTAAATACATTTCCGAATCAAATAATTTCAGATCCAATTGTCATTGTAATAATTGTAATAATTTCAAAAAAATGTTAAAACCTACATATAAATCTAAGACTGAGGAAAATGGAAACATATGTCTTCAATGGAATTATCCCAATTTACACCAGCTGAGGATCTGGCCCAATAAATGCAAGTAACAAGAATCTAATGTAGTGGCATAGTCACACATTAAAAGGTTCCATAAACTGGTGCTGTTTTTCTGGTTCATTATTTTTCTGCTCCCACAAAGTTGCAGATACAATCTTGGATCATAAGAACTCCTCTGTGTCATGTCATCAAGGGATGACATTTCCCTGCCAAGGTCAGCCTCAGGTTTGTGGTGGAGACAAGCAGACTGGGTAACAGTGTCACATCCTCATCAACCTGCACGGTCTTATGATGAAGAAGTTCTGGCCCATTTAGCAAAAAGGACAGAAGCAATGCTTAAACGGCCTTGGACATCTGTGGGCTAAGAGTAGATGTTGGAGTGGATATGGACTCTCTATGGTGTTGTTAAATAAAATGGGCCTTCATCTGCTTTTCAAATCTAATGGACTTGATTCTCCATTGCATCTTTTGTAATCATTAACTAATTCAAATAGTAATGTTTTACACCCACTTTACACAGCTGTGCACAAATAGGATGACCAAATATCCTGATTTTATAGTCCCGATATTTGGGTTTGGTTTTTTTAATATGGGCTCTTATTTCCCCCACCCCCATCCCGATTTTTCACATTTGCTATCTGGTCACATTATGCACAAGGTACAAGGTACAAGGCATACAGTATTTTTAATTTTGACTACAAACTAAAATTGCATTTTTGTCATGAAACAAGATAACACTCACAACAGATTCAGGTTCAGCTGAAGCAATGTCAGGTTTTAGTCCAGAAACACAACACAGAACCTAGCAGATAAGGAGCCAGGCACTCATAGCAATGAGCAGACAATGACCAATACTTGCTGGGTTCATATATAGCTGCCATGGGCAGTCTTTGGTGAGCAGTGACCAACGGGGGTAAGCTATATACATGTAATCGCATGCCCTGCATAGGCTGCATGAGTTCTTTACAGCTTGTGTTGTTTTATTTGGGTTTCTTTTTGAAAAAAATCTCTTTGGCCCAGGAGGAATTAGGCCTCACTGAAGTCATGACTCAGCATGCATTGAAGACAATGGAAAGACTCCCATTTACTACAGTGAGAGTTGGAGATGAGATCCTATGAATGTGCAAGTCTGAGTCTAGGAGCTGGTATGCAGGGAAGTTGCCCTGGGTAACAACTTCCCTGGGGCACTAACCTGTTGTGCTGGTCCATTTTTTCTCTCTGACCCTGATTCGCCAGCCCTTTGTTTTCAGCTACCTCGGGGAGGGAGGAGGG